AAGAGTGTCAGGATTTAGTTCGAATTCTTCACTACGTTAATCTGCACAAGCAGCTCAAAGCCAGCACTTTCTTCTGCAGTTCTTCAAACTGAAAAATCTCTCTATATATGGCAACAGATCTTTCATATAAAAATATGTTTATGAAAAATATAAGCACTGTCATATTACAGATGTATTTGGTATTTAGCTGGAAATTATATTCCTGTCATCAGGAAAAGGATGGACGTACACCAAGGACTACATAAAATGTGAGAACCTTCAACTCTAAGGACCCAAATTCCTTTACTGTGCTGGGAGGGACAGCCCATGCCCATCTTTCCCATTCACCTGCAGCTCTGCTTTCCCAAAAGCAGTGGTGGGACAGGAACAAACTCACCTGCGGTACCTACACAAAGATGCTGCTTACTGATAGAGCTTCTCTCCCTTTTCAGTACTGCCATAGGAGATAATGTGTAATTATTGACCTAACTTTATCTAACAAGGTTACACCTCAAAGATCTTCCCGGGCAAAGGCTCCCACATCAGGGCACACCAACCTTCCTACAAGCTTTGGCTTCGTCAATTCAATCTGGTCCTGTTTTCAAAGGCACTTGGTCAACAGTTTGCACATCTGAAGACCAGAACAACTGAATTTTCCATTTTCCATTTCCAAACGTGTACCTCTGTTGCTTTCAGCTCTGAAAACACATTTCTCACCTGATCTTCTAACAGGGAGAAGGAAGCTGAAGCTGAAGGTACTGTGAGTTGCGAGGCTGCTGAGCATCTGGGGTAGGGCTCTGGAGCAAGGATGGCATTTTTGGGGCTTTAGGAACGTAAAGGATTTGTGCACAGGGTATGAGTCCATTTGTTTTGCCATTCCAGCTTTCTGACCCCAAGCAATTCTCATGTGCCAAGAGCAGCACAGCTTTTAGACAGACACAAGCATTACTTAATATTGTATTTTAATTTCCTCACTAATGGAGACATATCCAAGAAGAGCTCTAATCACCAGATTTCTCTCACAGTTAACAGCAAATCGTTACGGATCTTTGACTTTTTTTTAACATAGTAGCACTGAAGATATTTAAGTTGGTTAAGGTTATTTAATAGTGGCTAACAGCTACTCATATCTACTCCCTGAAACACTGCAGACTTCCACAGAACTCAGCAGAAAAAAATAACATTTGGCATCTCAGTACTGTTAAGTCCTAGCTTGGTCTTCAATTCCAACACAAAATAAACTGTATATACAAGTTCAAGCTTTTAAACTAGTCACTGTTTGGGATTTATGCATTCCAGCCAGGTCTCGTGGCTGATCAGCTTAACAGACCTTGTAGTGAAACGACTGCTGCACTGCTTCAGTCCCGTGGAAATAGTATATTCCCTAAGAAAAAAACAAAAAACAAGGGGGTGGTGGTGGCAAAAAAACAGGACTTTTGGTTGAAGCATAAACAGCCGGTCAACACAAACCTTTCAGAAATTTACTGTATAAAGCAATCATCACCTTTCCTCCCTGCAGGCCCGTATTTCCCACAGAGACAAGTATCAGAGTTAAGAAGCCCTTTGTATGGTGGAAATGTAGCCTAGCCTAAGTGCAGCGCATTAATTTGCTGTCCGTGCTCCCTTCAATTCACGCTTTCGGTTGCACTCCGCACCGCTAACAGCTGATTACACACAGAAATACTCTGATAGGAGAAATTATTCCCACATAAAACACAGCTGCCAAAAGATGCCAGCTCCCATTAGGAAACGGGCGGTTCCCAAAATTTAGTCTAGGAAAAGTTGTAACAAGAACTTGTCTAAACGTAGGTGAGGGTAAGTGAGAAAAACAGCACCCCAGGGCTAAGGTTTAACTTCTGCAGGGATTCCAGCACTCATTTTGGTACTGTGCCTTGATACTGGGATTTTAAATGGATGCTCCAACGCATTTATGCAGGTGCAGATCCATCTATCTCCTCATTTAAAACAGTTAAAACAAGTGCTGAAGGGGCTATGGGTCTGCTTTGATTTCTCTACCACAGTCCTTTCCAAATAGAGCTGTGAAAAACCCAGGAAAGCACAAGTGTCCTGAGCTACACTTGCTATGCATTTCTATTATACAAATATATTTACTAAGTCAGGTCTATTACAAAACTCCTCAGACCACCATTCGACTCAAACTGGCGTTTTGGGGTTTTTTTCTAGTCTTGTGTGTGTTTATTTCAGCCCTAAACATCAATCCTTTGCAGTATTAGGAAAAAATCAATGACGCTGCTGTTTAATCTATGCCTTATCTGGGAAGGGTTTCAGAATGCGAGATACAAACACGATCGAGTTCATCTTTAAAAACCCCAAAGTAGCGCTGTTTCTGTTTTCTGAAGAACCTAACTTGAAGCTGGAATGTGTCTTGCTTAGCGGTTCTCTCTATCAATAACCGCATGAAAATTCATATTGATGCAAGTTTTTAAATGAAATGCAATTAATACAGGAAATATCTGATTGAACAGAAGACGTACTTCACTGATATTGCACAGAAGCACATAAAGCAATGGAAGTTTGCAAACAGGTGACCTCAGCAGACCGCCACATTTTATACACACATGATAAAGCTCCAAAATCCTCGTATTTTGACTACTTTAACTCAAAAGTTTAACGAATAGGGAGCAGGCAGTGCTCTTTTTACAGTCAGTAAGGAATTCTCCAAACACTTGGATGGGATTACATTTGCAATGAGCCCCATAAAAAGCAAACATCCAATTTGCGGGTGACCAAGCTCGCTCTGTGTCTGTTCAGAAGGCTTTTCTCCTGGTCTGCACCACGCACACAGTTCTCACAGCCTATTCCTCCTCCACAACGCTACGTAGCGGAGCATCAAGAATTTCTGCCTTAATGGCTCTTAAAACACACGGTTAAGAGTTGTCTCAAAGTGAACCTCTGGGCTTTGGCATTTAGGACACACGGCTCTTGTGAATGAACCCTTTAATTTCAGACATTTTTCTAATATAACGCTGCATCTTGGTTCCTACCACTGTCTCCATACCCGGCTCGCTTCTGTCTTTATTTAGACTGTTACGTACTAACGCTCGCTGGCTTCTGACACAGGACAGTAAATGTCACACAAGCGCCTGCGGCCGATGTCCTGCTGCAGGAAGGCATCAGATGGCACGGGCAACGAGGGTGTTTAAAGTCACCTCCTCAAAGAGAGCCCTGCAAAGTCATGGCTGCAAAGTCACGCAAAGTTAATTTACTGCCTTATTAATGGGCTGGGAATAGAGTTCAGTAAAATTACAGCTGAGCTTCTTTGGGGAAAAAAAAAAAAAGAAGAAGAAAGTCCTTTCTGAATTATTCATTTTCCTACCAATACCCAAAAGTAGCAGAGCACTGATGTAGTACCAGAAAGGCAGTGCTCTAGCGAAGTGTTTAATTTCATGTTCACACCTGACAGAGCTGTACTCATTTGTCATTCCAAAACTTGGTTCTGTTCGAACCCTTATTTCATTAATTCCTACACTCACTCTTAGGTGTGGTTTTAGTCCAGGTCAGAGCACAGCCAGTACTAACCACTAACAGAATAACTATCACCAAACATGATCTGGTGGGTATGTGAAAAGGAAAAGTACTTTAGAAATCAGTATTTTCATAGATCCAAAGGTTTCTACTCTCAGACTTGCACATATGTATGTGTCTGTATATACAGACATATGCATAAGCCATATTAGAAGTAGTTTCCTATTAGAAATAACAGGTAAATGAGTAATTTCTGACACTGAAATCCAAGGAAAGTGGTGAAGAAGAGAACTGATCTGCACAGTTATAGCAATCTCCTGACATTACTGCACTGCAGCACGGACAGGGTCCTTACAGGAGGTTTTGTAATGTTGGGCTAATTGGGAATAAAGGGAA